CAACTTTTGGGGTTGAAGTAGTCAAAAGAATAAAAGTAGACCGGTACGTCGTGGGCTTCCAGCGTCTCTAGTACTGCTTTTTGCACACCAATGTTGGTGAATGCATCGCCAATGATCTAAGCGAGAAAGCTCTTTTTAGGGATAAATGAAAAACGGAAGTATGGAAATCAAATTTTTCCTTTGTATAATTTCGTTTTATTTGAAAAACAGCAATCAATTTCTTATCCACTTTTAATAATTCAAATAAATCACTGATTATCCTGAATCAGAAGCTGACTGTTCTTACATCTGGTGAATTGAATAACAGTCAACAGTCAATGAATATAGTAAAAATCCATGTTCAAACATCCCTTGGAGAAATGATCCCTTTCAACGGGGTATCGCTGTATATGTTACTGATTAGGAAATAAATCTAACTCTCACGAAAGAATGTATTGACTTTCTGGCTTAAAAAACACCCCTTGAGATGCAGCACCAATGGAGTATTGGAACCATTATCAGTTTATATGTATATGAAGGATAAAACGAAAGTTTACGTGGCCACAAATCTCTTCTACAGTTTGCAATCAGCGTTTTTTATGATTCTACAATAAGATGTTAAGCATTTGAAAATCGAAGAAAAGTTGCCAGCTTGCTAAAGGGAGTTCACGATTATATGGATAAAAGTTAACTGATTAAATAAAAAGTAGATTCAAACCTCGGCATAAGCCCTCACTACTGCTTCATGATTCGTTATGTTCTCATCACTGAGCACTTTTCGGAAGATCTCCCTTCGCAGCCATTTGAAATTGGATGGATGGTCATCCTCGGAAACTAATTTGGCAATCTCCTCCATTATTCCATCAATAGAAGGATGTTTTCCAGATGCTAAAAATCACTATCATGACCGCTAAACATTTTACAGTTAACGCGTTTTATGTTTGTATGTCTGTATCTTTATTTATGAGTTTATGCTTCGGTAATGCAGAATGATTTACAAGGAAGATGGTGAGTCATTTACTTGCTCTTGTCACGCCGCCATCTTATTACGCCAGGATACATACTGTATGTGAAAATTCAGTGCTATCGCACTGCGGAGCAACACAAGCTAACTTCTAGGGTTGCAACAAAATTTTTTCCTATAATTGGCAGTTAACTAGCAAAGAGGTCCTCATTCTAAAAGAAACTGCGAGTAAATGGTGATTGCTAATCTCACGTTGCGGCTTTAGGGATAATGCGGATGGGATGAGTTGACATCCAATCTTCATTAGTTTACATCTCATCTTTCACAGCTTATGCTTCAGTCTACTGCCAACTCTGTAGGTGACATCAAACTTGGGCGGATTCTCTCAAATCTTGCAAACCCTTGCTGAAAGTAACAAAAGAACTTACTCAGAAAGAGGCCTTCAACTTCGCAGCATCCAATAAGCATAGGCTTGCCCGAAGCTTCCTTGCGAAGTTCGCTGATGGGCTTGAATTAGGATTATTTTGTTTAAACACTCTGGATACGCCCTTTATAAGAGAGGAATGATGCCTCTATCACCTTTGTTATGAAATCTCCATCGACTCGGGGCGCAACAGGACAGAGTTTAGAACGTGGTTTGGAGATATTTTCGAATAGGGAGAGTTCGAACTTTGACTCCGGAATTTCTCGCAGTTTAGTAATCATCTGTTTAAATGAGCAGTTAGTTCTTCCGTTGTTCTTGTAAGACATCGAGAACAAGACGTGATGAAAATATGACACTTGTACATGTTTTTGGCAAATATAGTCTGTTTCGATTAGAACTGGTGTCAAGCGCTAAAGAGGGAGTAGAGAATGGGAATTGAAAGTGATTAAAACTCAAGAAGATGGCGGATGTTCATAATTATAGGACGTTTATTTACTGCAGTGCGTACTTTTCGTTCCATGTTGCAGCATCCGGACCCTTGTAGTGCCATTTTGACTTTTTAAAATGAAAGTGGTAGTCGTATAGAGTGAAGAGAAGGTAGGTACAAAATGACAGATGTTATTGCACGAACATTGAACATTTGCAAAAATTCGCTCATTCATCCAATTTGAGAGTAGATTTAATTACCCGCACACAGTACTGCAAATAGACCATCACATCTAGGTTTTGAATACTAGTTGACATCGACTGCTATGTGGATTATGTAGTATAAACGCACAACTTTCCTTTTTTAAAATTGCAATAATTGCTCGACCTTTAAAGACAGCATCAATTTTACTGCAAAAATAGCAGTAGAAAAGATGGGTTGCATCAAATGCTGGGTTAATATCCTTTAAACGATGTTTTGGATAATCTAAAACGTTTTGGCTCAAATTCTAAAATCAGAATTTAAACCAATAGAGTTAGAATAAGAAAATTATAAACTCTTCAAGTTTGCCTCTATTAGGTTCACTTACCGTTGAATTGCATTCTTAAACCTTCCCATTATTTCATTTTTCTCTCATTCTCTCTTCATTTCTCTTTTTCTCTCCAATTATTATAGTTCAGATTAATGCAAACGCTTCATCGCGCTCCAAAACTGCTAATTCACACACCAAGCATATCAAACTTATGAAAAATTTATGCCATCTACGTCAAACTTAAGTCTCCTAATGTTTCGAGTTCAGTCAGAAATTGCCACAAAGCGCTGCTCGATGGAGATTCTGATCCTGGTAATGCTTTTGTTCGAGACAGCGGAGCAGAATCCCGCGTTCAGTTAATCAAGTCGCAAGATTGGCTTACCCGCAAGCTTAGGCGTTGCGAATGCACATCTATTTGACAATCCTAATCAAAACAGACTATATTTAGGAAATCCCAAATAACTTCTTGGCTATTACCAAAAAACCTACCGTTTCGCTATCAAAGAAGTCATAGATGCCGTGAGATTCTGCGAACTTGCGACATGCTTCAACCATATTATTGTGAGTACTCCAGGAGCAACTCGCATTCCCTGCCATTGGTATGACTTGTTGGAAAAGATCTGAAGAGATTTACAATGAACAGCTCGCGTTTAAGCTGCCACCCTTTATCCTATCCTATAAGCAGTATGACGGTAAATGTAGCATCAAGACACTAGAGTTTATTTCTCAAAATCATTGCACAGGTTTAATTTCGAAAGATTTC